GTGCAGCTTATTTCGCCTCGGGAATCGAGGAAAAAAGTGTCTTCCTTTGGCCCCTCTCCCTGCAGGTGACTCATCAGCTCGTCACAGCAGCAATGACGAGTTCACTAGATATCATTATTATTCGCCAGTCCACGCCTTTAAAGTGTATTTTATTTCACATTCTAAGAACTGAAGCCAACAGCTGGACAAAAATTTGACCGTTAGTCCTCGAAGACCGATTCACTGTAGAAATCCACTCAGAAAAGTCACGTAAGTGAAAGGTAAACTTTAAATTAAGATCGCTCCGATGTCACGAAGTTTGGTTGATGTCCATTCATGAATTGCTTTTCTTCTTTGTTTCTTATATAAAAAGCAATTGAAGACAAACTGTACACTCTCCTCCAAGGACGGCTCTTGTCATCTCCGAGGCGAATGAACCAGCAGAATACCAACGTGTCACTGCAGCTGCGGACCCATGCGCCTCTTGAACGGAGTTGTAGGGTAGTGGTACCCAAGTGCCGACTCCATATTCCGCCCGTGCTATCCTCAAGGTGCAGAGCTTGCGTCGATACCCCGTCTTGCAGCGAAACACGCACTTGGTGGTGGAGAGCAATCAAAATGTGAGAGGACGTGGGAAAGTAGCGCGTTTGGCTATGGTTGGGCATACGACTGGCCGTGTGGCAGCGGGCAGAGTTCAGTGAAGAAGTTTCCCTTTGGACGCTTATAACTTTCTCGGAAACGCACAGCTTGGGAGAAGACAAACGCGATTGTGAGGGCATAGATTATCGTGTTCCTACAAAATAAACAGAATGGTCCGAAAGTAAAGGTGAGCGTTGCCGCGTTGTGAAAATGCATCACTGGAAATCCTTTCTGGGTTTATGTTGTGACAGTTCTGTGCTTTGAACTTTTCTCGGAGATGGGGGCTTTTACTTTACAGAAGCTATTCAACTTCGCTTTAGGGTCTTGACTGTTGAAGAAGATTTGCGTTGGGGCTTTTGAATGAAATTGAAACACTCGAAAAGTCCGTTTCTTTTGCATCATTGCACTTCAACACTTTCAAGACACAAGTACTCTTCTGGAACGGATCACCGTGAAAGGGGATAAGTAGAAAAAAGAGTTAAAAACAAATATAATAGGACACGTATAAAATGGTCTAATCACCGGATGCGCCATGCAGTACGCTTCCACGCCATGGTGGCAAAATGGCCGATGGGCGCAAAACCGTCTTGCAAGCGGAAAAGCCGAGTAGCACATCTCTCTCCACCCTCCCGTAAACCCCTCCCACTCGCGTTCTAGCGAGCGAATACGACACTCTTTATGGTCTTCGTAGGACACTTCTCGAATCGGGGGCATGTCGTCGTTGGGATTCCCCAACAGGAAGGTCGAATTGGTCGCTAGGGGAGGGGGAGAGGTCGTATCTTCTCCTTATTTTTCCGATTAGCATGCGCTATATATATCTTCTGTTCGACACTCGATGCTGTCAAAGGAGGAAACTACATAGAGGACGGAGGTACCAAGCCAAGGCTTGGGACGGGAGGGGGTCGCACGCACTCGACCAAAATCCTAAACTAAGTGATGTACCCTGGTTCGAATATGTCGTTTCAGGCAAGAACCTGATCCTTTTTCTTAGTAGTGGCTAGATATTTTTGTACTCGGTTTTTGCATTCAATTATACACTTGCCCTAAGGTCTTGCAAGAACAACTGCAAGCGGTGCTAAAAGAACGAATATCAAGAAAATCATGTCGATCGAGATTATCTCGGGTTTGGACAGCTGTCTTTCAAAACATCTCTGGAATAATAGTTTCCGCCCTTGAAATTTTCCGATTTCATTACAAAAACTCACGATTAGGATAATCCTGTTTGGACTCAATTATGTCGTTGGGCTTCCAAATCTTTTGAAACTGGCGTTTTCCCGCTCGGAAAAACTTCGACCATAGCACTGTATTGTTGGTGATGATGATTCTGCCCTGAAGAAGATTCCCTGGACATTTCAGGGTGGAACACTGACTCGTTTTCATATTAGTCCTCCAATGTAGGCAATATATAGTTTTTTTTGTGTGTCTGCAGTTGCTTCATGTTGCTCATGTGCCTATGGTGCATGCAATAAATAGTTAAATAGTTAAATATGTACAAAATTCTTGGATGACGTGAAAGCATGTGGCTAGGAATTGAACAACCTTCCGAATGATTTTTCCAACGATGAAATCGGTTCAGAAGGTAAGCGATAAGCCAAGAGCCGATTAGCGTAAGGGAAATGCACGAACCGTTCAACTGCTCCCGTCTCTTATACTCCTGTAAATGAACTGCTCACTATTGCAATAGTGAACAGCTGATCAGTAGAACGACGTGCGATCGGAACGTCGCGATATTTCAACGATACTTAACGTCCCTGATGGCTGGTGGAGGCTAGATCGATGTCCATACGATCGTTCCTCGAGTTGCTGATGAGCGCTGGTGGACGCTGGTAGACGCCAGATGGATTCTATACTTTCCTAGCCCATCGAGACGCTGATGCTCGCTGACTGGCGCTGGTGGACACCGGTAGGCGCTGCTGTTCGATCGATGTCTGTACTTTCCTACTGACGCTGCCGGACTCTCGAAATGCTGATGATTGCTGGTGGACAGTGGTGGTCGCTGGTGGACGCTGCCGCAAAGTAGGAACGCAGCTTAAGAGCAATTTATCGAATACTGGCACTTCAGGCGCTCTGCATGGCTCTTTTTTCTTTATCCCCGAAATTCAGGATCACGATTTCTGACGGTTGATCGGAGGAGTCTCCATTCGCCAAACACGTTTTGGTAGAAGTTCATAAGGGTTGACTTGTAGGTGTGTTGTTAGGGAGTAGTGTCGAAGGAACGAAGAAGTGGGGCATCGTGCTTATGCCGTCATTTCACTAATCTTGATGCTGTATGCTGTGGCGGTCTCGATTAGGAGTGACAAATTACATGGAAAACCCGAGGTGAAATTCTCCTGATATGCTCCTCTGCGAGCTGATATGGTGAACTAAGCTCTTCACTGCTCCCTTCACCGTTGCAAGTTGGCGAAGAAATCGCTGCCAAGCTCGAAACAGGCTATACTATCTGCGCCAGCTTGCACTTGCATGCAGCTTCCCGAAGACCGTTGAACGAGAAATGTCAATGTTCAAATGTTCTAGTGGTGGAAAAACCACTGCCCAGTTTTTCGGGCAACATTGCTGTGATTGTGGCTTCTACTTCATAAACTGGTACTCTAAGTCAACTTCCCTATCTCGAAGCCGGTTGCAATCAAGCTATTCCTAGTCCTTTACTTCTCTGTTTTGACTTTTCGGGCAGTAAGGCTGCATGCATACTTGCGGCAGCGTCCACCAGCGTTCCGAGCGTCTGGCTGCGACACCGGCCAGGGAGCGACCAGCGGAGTATAGAAGGCTAGGGAAGTATAGGTATCAATCTAGAATCTGCCAGCGCCCACCTGCGACCAGCATGGAGTGGAGAGTATGGGACGATAGGAGGGTAGCAGACAACTGGTAGAGTATGGGGAGATAGGAGGGTAGCAGACTGCTGGTAGAGAGTATGACACGAGAGGGAGCAGACAGCTGAAATCATCCACTTCCAGTTGTCTGCCCCTCTTATCGTGCCATGGGCAGCAAACAACTGGTACCCTCCTATCGTCCCATATTCTCTATCAGCAGTCTGCTACTGGTCGCTGCTGGTCGCTGGTGGACACTGGCAGATGCTGGTGGCTGGTGGACGCTGGCAGGCGCTCGATAGTCTATGCTTTCCTAGTCGGTGACGCTGCTGGACGCTCGGAACGCTGGTGGACGCTATTGGTCGCTTGGTGGACGCTGCCGCAAAGTATACACGCAGCCTAAGACCTTGTTCAGGTTTACAAACACCATATGTCTTGCATACGCCGACATCATCAAAACCGAATACTAACATTTGAAGAAAAACTTGGAGAAATTTATTCCAGCTCATTTGTATGTCCCCCTCTCTTTAAATACCTATTGGTTTCACCACTCAAAATCATACTTTTCGTTGCTACCTTATGGTACTTGCACTTAGAATGCGTGCAGTTTTTACTACAGTCGACGCTAGTTCATCGGTGCTTAATGTAATATTGCTTCACTGAACAAGGTTGAAAAATAGGAATCCTAGAACTGAACCCACCTGCACTCCCTTCGCATTCAGACGTGGGAATTCAGCATCGAGGAGGTTTTGATTATTCGTGATGGAAAGTCCGAAGGCACCTTTAAAGGCACAGTTCGCGACCGCAAATTGCGGGAAACGGAACTCAAATAGGCACAAAAAAGTGCTAAGTATCTGATTAGCGGAGAAAAGCAGCAGAAAAAGCAGTCCGAAATGTTATAGAGAAAGATAACATAGTGGCTACTAGCTAGTAGCTAGCAGCCGGTGAGGGTCGGCATGGGCCTAAGGGGTGTCCATGGGCCTAATTAGTCAGCTTCTAGCGGAGTTCTTGCCGTTTTTCACATTTTGAAAGTAGCGCAGCCTCAAAAATCGCCTTCCGGATCGTCCGACACATTTGAGAGGTCATAGCCTTATTTTATCGCGGAATGTGCCTTTAAGTCGAGTACATGAGCACGGAAACTTTGAGACAAATTTTACTTTCACCTCCCAAGACGGTCCTTGCCATGTGCAAGGCGAATGGGTTCGCAGCCGAAGTATCGTACCACGTTCTCCGCTCAACGGTGCACGGGAACGAGTTCTGAGTAGTGGTACCCTAGTGCCGTTTGCATGCTATCATCAAGGCGTGGCGCTTGCATCGATATGGTCCCGCAGCGAAACATATACTCAGCGGTAGGAAACAATCTAAAGCGAGAGAGCGTAGACAAGTAGCGCCTTTGGCTATAGAGTGGCGCGCGCGGTGTGGTTAAACCGTAGCCGAGTACCGTCCAGCACAGTTCCCGTGTATCTTCAAGCGGGCAAAGTGGCACGCTATTGCAGTTGAGGAGCCATCCACCTCGCCCAATCTTTTCTCAATCAACGTTCCATATTTACCACACCACCATAGTTTTACGTAAGTTGTTCAGCTGATTGCCAGCAACTCACCCTTCCCCGAAATTCCGCCTAGAGCTTCGAAACTGATGAATCTGATATGGTTCTTTGTGATCTGTGAAAGATACTATACAGTGGAATGTAC